TATAAAAGCAGTTTAGAATATAGTTTTATCGTGTTTGGAATAAAAATGATGACTTTTTTCAACAGGTCAGCATCCTTCATTGTAGGACTTAACAAATAACATATTATTGTTATCGTTCGCAAGGAAAGAAAACTTGTCATGATTATCAATTGATCTTATCGATGTTAGGTGGGATGGACAAGAAGCAATATATGGACAATGAGTACAATATTCTTGGGGACACTACAACGTATTGACTTCTGATAAAAGCCCCAACAGTTAAAATCAAAGGGACACTGAAAGAAATGCTGAAGGAAATGAATAGAATGGGAAAATCGACAAATGGACAAGGAACTCACTCATATGAAAGTATGCAAGAGCATCAGTTGCATATTGTTTGCCAAAGGTACACAAGGAAGCAGAACCGTTGAGACTGACACTCAATAGCAAACATGGACCGACACATAAATTGGCGAAATATATCAGCCTCAGATTAGAAAAAGTGAATGACAGATTGTTGAATACAGTGAAGAATTGATACAAATTTTACAAAGAATCAAAGGCGCAAGGTTGGAAGGAAATGAACTGTTGGTGAGCTTTGATGTACAGTCCAAGTAGACTATCATCACAGGAGGAAAAGCACTCATCGAACTAACGGAGATCATGAAAAAATAAAAATAAAATCCTGGAGACAGAGCGAATGCGTAGAGAGTCTGTAACCCGATTAATTAGCCTAACAATAAGGACGACCTATTTCACGTTCAACGGCCGCATCTATGATGGAACTATCACAACTTTCCCCAATATTGGCTGATGCATTGCTTTAGAAGTTGGGCGAGAATAACAAACTGTCACCCCAGCAGCCAACAGTAATTATGCGATATTTGGATGAGTTCATCGCAAGTTGGTCGCATGTAAGAGAAGAATTAGACAATTTTCTGATCTGCATAAACGAAATGAATGAAAAAGTCAAATTTACCAGTGATTTGAAATAGAACGAACACTTACCATTCTTGGATGTAGACATCATTCGCTCCGAGAAAACTCGCGAAAAAAACCTTTCCGAAATAAATCGCAAGCTAAAACGACTTTTTACTTCCAGCCGAACCACACTTATGGGATTAAAATTGGAATACTGCGGAGTATGATCATAAGGAGCTAACGAGACACTGATTGTAAGTTCTAGGCAGAGGAATTGGGAAAACTAACTCAAATGTTTCTTGGATACGGATATCTAGAATAAGCAATACAATGCAACACATGGATGGTGATGAATTGATGGAAGGACAGAGATTATGAATTGAAAGTAAGAGGAGCAGAGGAAAAATGATGGATATGTCTACCGTCCTAAGAATTTGCTCAGAAGCTACGGCCAATACTTGAGAAATGGAAGATTAGTACAATCCTGAAGGAAAGAACAACCCTCTTCACCAGCTTTCCCACACAACATGAAAGATTATACTAAAAGGAGTGCTCAATGTTTACAGCATAGATTACAATGAGGATGAGCAAAAAAACATCGAAGAGACAGGAAGGACAATCAGAACAAGGATCAAAGAAGCCATCGAATATGCATGAAAATGAATACGAAGAGATCGGAGATAGCTAAACTCATCACCATAACCGGCCACGCAATTCGCTGGGATGTAACAGAAAGATTGGCCTTAAGTGGGAAACTACCAGGAAACGGAAGATCGGGGTGGCTGTGGGCATCCTCATGCAAAGAAACCTGATAAACAGGAGATTGGAAGAGCGCTCTGGCTGAGCAGACTTGGAGACTCAACGAAGACATCAAAACGAAGACGCTTGGATCCAGAGCAACTGTTCAACAAAAGGAAGAGACATTCGCAAGCCGCGGCTCATAAGGAATTGAGGGTTGTCAAGAGAAGGCGATAGCATTGAGACGAGTCTGACATGGAATTGGCCAAAATAATTTACCCAATGGTCCACCTGCGAGATGTAGGATATGAAATTAAAGGCTAAAGGTATAGATCGAGGTAGGCTAGATCAAGGTCACCAGTGTGTGTGTGTCAGTGTCAGTTGCAATTTTCGTATATGCCTCGGAATGGGAGGTGACTGATGACATACACAGTGACATCATCCCAGAAACCTATGATTAGATGGAAATGTCAACTTGAGAGATGAGAGGAGTGTGTTTTTCGCGATTCAAGGGGAAAAAGGTAGGCGGTGCATTTTCACGCCAGCGATTATGATTTATGCCAGGCACAGGACCCAAAGAATGAGACACGATGTGGGTGGGGGATGATGGAGAGTATAATTAATTTATGGGTTTGGAGCACTCCCAGGCACTGGCATGTGCATGGGCATCACTTGCTCTAACTTCTCGAATATGGCTTAATCAAGAATGGGAATTGAAGGCTCTTAGGCAGCCAGATTTCGGTCAGCAAAACAGTGATTTTGATATCTGGTAGCGACCAAATGACAAGCCGGCAGGATAAAAAAATGGGGGGGCGTGGCCAGGATGTAGGTCATGAACCTTGCAAACGGCATCAGGTACAGGTGGTAGTGGGGACGATGACACCTTGCTAAACCTACTTGTAGCGATACACTCTTATGCGACATTGGAGGAAATGAGAGCACAGAATTGTGTGAATAAGTGGATGGGCCACATGAAGTGGGGTTTAGAAAAGGAGATGTGGCACTAGAGAGTGGAACAAAAAGGAGGGGCAAGGAGTGATGCCACAACGTCTGAAGAGGAAATTGGTCAAGCGGATTGTCTTCACTTGTCCCTTTGCTAACTTGTAACTCTGTGCTTACGAATGGGCCTCTCACCGACGATGGCGACTGCGATGCCGGCGAAATGTTTGAGAATGTACCAAGTCAATCGTCCGATGTTGGAAATCATGAATATTATGGCAGAGGATACGGGAGTAGTAACGTTCCACAAGTTCTCTCTGACTCTCTGACGAAGTTGCAAAAACAGGGTCGAACCAAGAATAAAATTAGAAAGTTTAATTTGCTAAAAAGTGGATTATTTACGTGCGATCCGTAGCCTCATGTTAGTATCCAATATCATGGTAGCAAATTTCGGTTGTAGGCTACATGATTTCAATGTTTGAGGACACAGTACTGATTTGTTGCAAATAAAAAATAGTTATAAAAAATTAATTTCCGACTGTGAGAATTGACGATAAAACGATTGCCCCTTTCACTGAAATCTCCATCTTTTATTTAAACATTTTATGCACTCGTTTTTAAGATAAATTTTTATTTACATATGAGACTCATAGGTTTACTCTCATCTGCACTCATTATAGGATTATAAACCAGATCATGCAAGTTAATTTGTGAAAGATTTTCATTTTTCTATACAGCAGCGGATTCCAGTTGATTACAGGAAATGTGAATTATAATAAAATTAAGACCTTTTCTTAGACTTATTTATAGCGGAGTTGTCGATGAATGAAAATTTACTTGCAACCAGAAACAGAAGAGATAACCTTTTGGGAATCCACGACATCATGCGACCTATTCACTTCGTTCTGAGAAAAACTCTTTCATATAACTTTATATCAGGTATAACGACCTATGATGACAAAATTCTTCTTCAACTACAATTAATAGTTTCGAATCCTAATCTAACCGAATATCAAATTATAATGAAGCTGTTTTTGAGAAAAATTGTTATTTTTCTATGCTTACCTCCCAGGCACGAAATCGCTTGGAAATTGTAAGCGCATTTGCATCCTTAACTGGGCAAGTCTTCACCTATAAATTAAACCTTAAATTGAAGATGAAATTAATCAGCTTACCTTATAAAAAGTTTGAAACCTTCTGGTACTTTAAGTAAAATAATATTTTCTCTAATTATCTTACGACATGTAGCATTGTGACGAAAATCCCTTAAGTCCCCTGGCTGCAGAAATGTTTACAAAGTCGCCAATATTAGATAGTGCTGAAAACAAGTTTGATACCGACACATTGCAATTTCGGAATACCTATGGGCTAAGGATGAGCTGATAGGAGCCTGCCTAGCCTATCCTAGTAATTTGTGTCTTCTGAAGGTAACTTTTAAATAACAAATCTAAATTGAATTCACACTTAGAATAACTGCAATTTATTCATTTATTTATTCTGGCACCAAATAAAATATATCAAGTTGGATAGTTTTATATATTAAAATATACCCGAAAACTTTTAAACTAAATATTTGGCTCTTTTCAAGAGAAACTTTTGCATCTTGAGTTATAAGTACTTTCTCATCTCGGTCGTATCTAAATTCGCATATGAATTACCAAAGTTTAAATAGGCAAAATTAATCTGATTTTTACAGTTAGAAATTCATGTTCTGAAGAAATAACTTGAATCTTAGATGGAGAAATTGTTTTATTATAAATAAATCGTTGAGTAAACATAAATGTGGTGATGCCTATAATAGGAGCGGCTGAGCTTCACTAGAATGGCTTAGATATACGTTAGGAGGCCTGATCAGGTCCAAGCTTTATCAAAAAAATCAGGTTCTTTTATGCTTTTAGTACTGACCTGAAAATCCAATATAGCCACCTATTCTTTAAAGATAAACTAAGCTTGATTGAAATGATAGCGTTGGGGAAAAGCAAATTATGTAAAAATAATTAAACAATGCATGAAAGTGGATGACAAAAGTAGGCTTTCATTGTGGATTGAGATATTAATAAGTGCATACTAGTTACAATTGGATTTTTTACTAATGGATGCTTAGCTGAAGAAAAGCATTATATAGGACCTGTTTATTTGGTTATCATAACATTAACTATGTGAAAGTACAGACCCTAATGAGGATTTCATGCAGAAAATGTGGACTAAAGTGATTTCGCAAAAAGTCAAAGAAATGCTAAGAATATATTAATAAGCATAAGTATTTAGTACTCAACTTTCTACCAGCTTTCCTCGCATTAAACGCATTTCCTAAGCTATTCGTTTCAATAGCCTTTATTATCTTTATTTTAAACACAGACGTACCGTAATCAGCAAACCTACTAGTTTGAGACCATTTTATTTCATGTCCAGTTTC